AAAAAAAAACGAAAAAATATTTCGCGCTATCAAAAAACTTAGTTCAAACTAATGGATTTCAAATCCTACAGAATAATAACCATGCATACAATACAATATTTCAATGTAGAATCTATATTTTCAGCAAAAATCATACATTTATGACAAAAATACCATAACAAATCAGTATTGTTTATGATTTTCAAAATATATTTCTTTAAATTTAAATGTATGTCTATAATAATATTCTTGTTGTTAACGATCGTATATAAGTGTATTTCTGTTTAGAGGCAATTTCTTTTGATTATACGTTGTTTTTGATTATCTTACAAAGAAGAAAAATATTATTTTGGTAAGAGGTTTACATTTAGCATAATAGAACAAAACAATAAATGTGCATGTGACCCATATATTTTTATATTTGGTTAGTAATCGAACAAAAAATTGCCGATTTTGTATTATGGGTACAAAATAAATTGCATGAATACCTTGTATGACTGGCGACAAGTTATTATTCATCAAATTATATACGATTCGCTACACTAAAGGATATAAATAGTGGTTGCATTTGTTCTTCTTTTTTGTTATTCATTTTTTTCCTCCGCAAATCATATAAGACAACTAATATGGCCGGCGAACAAGATACACAAGAAGTTGCTGCAATTAAAACTCAAATTGAATCATGGCTTAAAACAAACAATAATACACTTAAATTAGATTTAACTAATAATACTCTTGATTTTAAGAAAATTTGTGATACTCTTTTTACGAGTGATCAAGCTACAATAAGAATTACTCTTGGTTTTAAAGATGACAATTTAACAAAAAATTCTTCACTTGATCAATTCCGTTCAAATTTTAATTTTGTTGCATTGGATCGTCTTCCGATACCTGGCCTTGATGGTGTTCCATCACAATGGAATATTTATCCTCAAACTCCGATGTCATCATTTTCTGAAGGTGTCACTCTCGAACATTATGATCCAAATACACAAATATTACAAATACATATTCAAACAAATTTTTTTGCTATCTATGGAAGTGTTCCACAAGAACATCCAATGATGGATGCTGCAGCACCAAATGGTACTTATTTACAAGTCCGACGTGATATTAAAGGCGATATTAAACTTAATGCTAAACTCAATTTTTAATTAATCTTTATTCTTTTTTATTCAGAATTATAATAAATAGTTAGAAAATTTTAAAAAAGAAATAGTTGATATTTTAATAAAAAATAAAAAAATAGATTTGTGTTCAAGATATAATATTTTATTTCTAATATAAAGTATACAGCTGACGATTAGAAGAAGTTTTCTTGAATATATTCGAATAAAAGTTTAATATAACGATACAAAATATCCATGGTAAGGTATAATTTGACAAGAAATTTAAAAGTTATAACTTCAACTGAAGGGGATGACATTAATGCAAGGTGCAGTGACCGATTAGCAAATGTTATTTAATAGCTCTAAATAAGAATATTGATTTAAAAGAAGGAAAAATTGACAAAAATCATCCGAGGTTTATTCCAAACCACTAATGTCTATTTGGATCAAAGTCATTCTATTATATTTAATTGAAAATTGTTAACTATAAAACATCGAAGTTAATTTATGTTATAGAAACTCATTTGTATTTGTCTGAAACAGTTTGAATTAATTCATGATAGTAATTATTGACATAGCGAACTGTACTACTTTCACTAACTTTACAAACTTCAATTCATTCTTTAGTTTGATTCAATATCTTGATAGAAGTCATGATACTTAATAATAGAATAATTGTTAGACATTTCAATTAGGTAGATTTATTGATGATAGACGTGATATATATATACATAACTAGATTAACATTGAATATCAGTATGTGCTAATAGTAGAAGTGTTTTTATAGCTGGAATTATTTGATCAGATTTTGATACTTCTGAAAAAAGTACAAAAAATTCATTGGTACGATAAATAAACAAAGTAAATCAATTTACCAAGTAATTTAATTATTTTTTCAATAATTTGATGATAATATGGTACAGGATTATTATATGTATGAATTTTTTCTATAGCTCTATATTACATAGATGAATAAAACTAAATTGAAAAAATAAACATTTCCTACTCATTCGTATTTTTGATTTTTGTTGATTTTTTTAAAGTATTTATTTCTTGATAATTATGATACAATTCAGTAAGTGATGTAGAAATTTGTTTAAAACAATGTATATCAAATAATGTTTGATATTGTTCAAAAATTTTCAGACAACATTGATAACTTGGTTTATGATTTGGATCGACCTAAAATTTCTACAATAAAAATAAATATATGAAAATTATCTTCTCGATCAGTACATCGACAAGTAAAATGATTTATTTCATGAGAATTTATCTAAATAATTTAATTAAGTATATTAATATTTGTAAATGTTATTAACTAGATAGTTTAATGTCTTATGAATATATATAATCATCTCCTGATAAGAAGGAGATAATTTGAAATGATAGGAATTTGATGAATGTTTAAGACATGAAGGGCTCAACTTGAAACTAATTTAACATTCTATCGTAGTGCTAACTTTCGATTATTACACATATGATATTCTATAAGACTATCGTCTTTATTCTTCAAAACTTTGCTAATTGAATACAGACAATAGAATAAATTAATCAGAAAGAATCATTTATATCGTTAGTTAAATACAGTTTTGTATAGGTCGAGTCTGAAATAGAATTCTTAAATCTCTTGAAAGAGAAAATAGTTCGTTCTATTCGCTAAGATTACGTATATAATATAAATGTTGCAAATAAGGATTAAATTAGCGTTGTAACGATTTACATTAGAGTTAAAAAATTTTACTAAAATCAATTTTCTGTTTTTATTCTCATTAAAATTATATACAAGCATGACTGTTTCTACGGTAATTCAAGCTTTGGTCGAAGAGGTAGCATACAGGAGAGAAAGACGAATTTGCACAATAATAATCAATCTATTATCAATCTAACAGAGGAATGGTCGTTCAGTACAATAAATTGTTTATTGTTCGAGAAAAAGAGTGATATTAAACGACATATATCATAACTCGTTATTAACAATGAGTTAAACCTTATTAACTCGAATAAAAGGCAATTATTTCTGGTTATGAATCAATATATATGTAAATGCAAGAAAAACTGCATGATATAAAAGACTGAGTATGTAGCGTATTCGTCTGGTGACAAAGGTGATCATGACCATATACTCAATTCTGAATCTACTCAAGTCGACCGAACTCGTAATCAAATAAAATAACGTGTTCTAATAGTTTATGAAATGTGTAAATTATTATACGAATATTACTTTAGTTAAGTTTTTGCTATTTTTTAGACAAGATTGTTTTCCGTTATTGTTGACTCTCAAACCAATAGAAACAATTTATTTATATTGTTCTGCTTCAGAGTAACACGAAGATTATGAAGAATATTATCATCTTTGTATTTTATCTTACTTTATAATCTGTAGGAATAGTTTCATATTGCTGCCCGGATTCTTGTTCCGTAATTTTCCTATCATAAAAAGAAAATTAAATTAATTCTAACAAAGAATATTGAATAGCAGACAATTGCTCAAGTTCTTCCATGAGATGAATTGTTGTTCGAAGATGGTTAATTGTTTTCTGACATATTTTAAGTTGTTGTTTATATGTCTAAGAATAAAAAATACATGTATATATTTTTTAATAAAAATATTCATTTACTAATGCTTCATTTTTATATTGTTGTAATTTGATTAATTGATTATTATTATCTCCATTCATTATCTATGGAAAACGAAAATGCTTTGTTAAAAACAAGCTTCATCTTACTTGGTTTCTTTTCTCAGGATGTTTCATACATTGACGAATGTGTTTCCTATACAAGAAATTCCAAATATATATGTATATTCTTTTGTTATATACATACTTTAGATTTTTATTAGATTGGAATAAATCTCGATTAACTGTTTGATTAGTTTCATCATCAACATTTACTTGATTTTCATAAATTGATGTATTCATAAAGATTTTGTAATAGAGAAATAATATAGTTAACGTTGAAAGACTTGATTGATTACTTTACAAGGGAATATTTAAGAAAGAGAAAATCAAATTCTTGTATTTTATTAGTATGAAATTTCAAGGTAGGAACTTATTAAATCATACTCATTCCTATTTAAATATTCATTTGAAAAGAAAATGCTCTGTGTATTATCGTCTCAAGGATTTATGACATTAAAAAATGTATATCTACTCTTTATAACTGTCAGCATATATCCTTGATAGAATAATCAAAATCAATAGCAGAAAGAATAGATTTTTTATTAATGAAACAATTAAAATATCATACGTTAGCATTAATCATATAAATAACATCTTAGAGTGACATGAAAAGTATTAAACTCTATTAATCCTAACCAAGAGTTTGAGGCAAATATGACTTGATTATTTGAAATATGCTAATTATCAACATGAAGAAGAGTTTTTGACACGCAAATTAATTAACCGATTATGAGTATAATTCAAGTTCCGTATTAAAAACGTTCAATTCATTAAGTTTAATATTTCTTGTATAAAATCATTGGTGTATATATATATATATGAAAGATGTTTTGATTGACATTAATTTTTATTAGAAACTCTACGACAGAATGCATAAAGAATAAGATTAGCTCCTCGATCTTATAACTGACAGTTATTCAGAGTTTTAACTTTTTCATTAAAAGAATGAAAGATAAGGGGAAAAAAACAAGTACCCACATATTTCGAATGTGACATTGCAAAATAAATAATGATATTATTTTCAGTTAATGTGAGATAGGAGATAGTATCCAGAAATTAGAAGATAAAGATAAATTTCGTACTATACAATAATATTTACTTACGTTGAAAGTTTCGATTTTTTTTATTAAGAGTTTTGAAAAGTGAGCATAGTAACCTTAAACCATTTACTATGATCGTTTTCAGATTGGCCTAGTTATATTCTTGTTTATATATATTACAAGATGAGATTTCATGCCCCTTCATAAGTAGAAGAATATCGCATATATGTCATAAGGGTGGCAAGACGTCTCATACAACGGAAACTAATAAAACATCTTTCAATAATCGAACGAAACAGATTACTTCAAGGCAAAAAATTCTTTTATTTACTTTGGATATATTATAAAAAAAAAGAAAACATTATTTATGATCTATATATTCCAATATTTATTTTCTAAGAAATGTTTTCTTTATATGAATAATAACAAATCAATCGAGACGAACAATTTTAATTGCATGACTTCAAATGACAAAGAAATTTCTCTTGTTCAGTGAATAGTTTCTGAAATTCGAGAGAAAAAAAGAAGAACAAAAAAAAAATAAACAAAACATAAACGATATTTAAACTCTAGACAGAAAAACAAAATAGACGCATCTCTATATATATATATACCAATAGTACAATTGACAAAGAAATAAAGTCTGCTCAGAATTATCTGACACATGAAGAAAAACAAACTGTTCGTCATAGATATTTAAATATATGTCACTCTGTCTTTTATTTTGAAGTTTACATTGATTGAGGTGATAAATGATTAAGTTCTTTTGACGATAATGTTGTACCATTTGCTTGTCGTCGCAATTGATTTGTAGTAGTATTTAAATGTCCTCTTTGCATAGCATTTTTAACAGCATCAGTTAAAGATGAAAATGATGCAACTGTTTGTATTGGTTTATTTAGTGTTTTATTATTTGTAGATATAGTATCTGTATCGGCTGATGATTTGGCATATAGTGCAGATGATGACGCAGTTTTAGGTTGATCAGATAAATGTTTCATATTATAAAATGGTGTCCAACGTTTTGGTAGATCATTTGATGAATTCGATACTGAAAAATATTATAAATTCAAATAGAATTCAATCGTAATTATTTACCTTCGTAGTTATCTGAAAACATCGCATCATTTTTATTTGTTTGATTATCTACGTGGACCCTAGAATAAAATAATATAGAATTCGTTTCTTTTTTGATTAATTATAAACAAAATGATTCATACCTATAAAAATCAAACTTTCCCGGTTCAGTTGGACTTAATGCAAAATCATAACCAGCTTCATTGGATTTAGTTGTATTAATCGATAATGGTTGAGTAGTAGCATTTGATGCCATAATGCACGGATTGATTTAAATCCAAAAAAAATTATGAAAAATAAAGATGTTATTCACGTGTAAAATGTATCGAAAAATCAGCATAGATTTGTTTTATCTTTATTTTCTTTTCTCTTTCTTACAAAACATCGGTAGTGGTATGATGTTTAGACCAACAAGAAAGCGCAAGAAACGAGTTTTTTTTTCTTCCTATTTCTACTCGTTGTACGTCCTTGGATGCACACGAACGTTGTTTCTCTCATATATTTCTTCGCATTTTTCTTTCCTTCTTTCATAGCAACACTCCTACATTTTTTTTTCTCTACAATTAGTTTGTATATAAAAGACGAATTGAAAACGAAAATTAGATATTAAATATGTCGACTAAATCATCTATAGAAAAAAAAGAAACTTTCCTGAACGTCAGTTTAAATAAATACCAGTAAAATACGTCAAAAAAAACATTACCGAAATTTTTTTCCTTCACCTTAATACTGAATAGATAAGAGAAATAAACTCGGTACATTTATATTCATAAAAGAAAGAAAGAGAAAAAAAAATGATGCAATGACGACTAACCTCTAACACTCATGTATATCGTGCATAAATCATACTCTTCGATCATGCGAAGAACGGTTATACCATCAATTAGATTGGCTCAAATGGACAAAATGACGACTAAATATTTTTTTTCATATAAAAAACAAAAACAAACTCTTTGCTCGTTTTTTTTCTATAAAAACAAAAGTCAATCAACAATACATTGAATCATAAATATCAGTTATTTATTTAAATAAGAAAAAAAAATTCTTAATATTATATTTCGAAAGGTGGATCCAAATCTTAATGATACCAAAAACTATTTTTCATGGATATACATTTTCTAGACGGTAAATATCTAAAATATATAAGAATTACTAATTTAAAATTATTTTTCATATTTACTCACGATGGCTTCATTCAATAAATTTGTAAAATATGCACAATTGATGTAATAATAAAAACGAGATGCTGATCTGAAAAATAAATATTCTATATATCTAGTATTTTCTTAGTCAAATACAATTGTATATTGAAGGCAAAAAAAAATAATTTGAGTTCAATCGTTTGACGAATGAACTATTGGATTGGATTAATCTAAACCAATTTGAATCATATGTCAAATTTAAATAAAAATATAATTTCATAGCTTCATTTTTATTCGTATTAATTTTAATAAAAATAAAAATTATTTTGAGATAAAATAAAAATAAATGTGAATGGCGCTAAATTCGCTAATGATTTATTTGTTCAATCATAATCGATTACAATTCGTTCATATAGATGAATGAATGAGTCATTTGTATGATTTTCTTCACATGTTAAAGAGAGTATGAGTGAACTAATCTTCTAGATTTATTTCCCGTACTTTAGATAATAATATAAGCACCTTTGGATACTTAGACTCTTGTAAGATGATAAAAACAAGTGAAGAGTCACTCATGTCAATTAGAATCGATTACATCTCTATATAAAAAACCGATTTTCAATCAGGAAATTAATATTTCACAGAAGTTCTATCGTTGCTATTATTTAACTATTCTATCAAATGTGGGTCTTATCTTCGTCGTATACCCACACTGACCCTCAAATGTATTGATACTTTGTATCAACGATATAACTGATGGTCTAATCATTTCTTTGAAACTTCTTAACGGATTGTCCTGTGAAATAAATATAAACAGATGAAACGATTTTTCTTCAATCAAAAAAAATTTTTCGATTAAATTAAGGAAAACGTCGCAGTTCATTTTGGGGTTCAAAACGAATTGCTAGTAAATTTTTGATGTCGGATAGTGTATATACTAGAGCCCTACGCTTCCGAAAAAAATAGAACCGAAAATCGAACCGGAACCGGAGTTTTTCAATTTCTGTTGTCCGAAACCGGAACCATGAAATAAAAGATGATGGAGCCGGAACCGGTGGAACCGAAAAAATATTTTTAATGGTAGCTAAAACACTATTCAGATACAACATAGTTTTGTTTTCTTTTGGAACATATTGCTCTTTTAATGAAATAATAAACGTCAACGATCTTAAGAATGAAATGGAGAAATTTCTGAAAAAAATCTATGTTTTAATATTTTGTATATTATTGTGAAATCCCCGGTTCCCTAAACCGATTTTAGAAACCGAACCGGGACCGTCTGCTTCGGTTCGGATCCCAGTAATTTTAGGAACCGCAGGGCTCTAGTATATACGTGGATGTTGATATATCCTCACACACACCCTTACCAAGGAAACCCTAGGATATCATCTACTTATGATTCATTACTATTTTCGATTGATTTTATTCGTCATGATGTAAATAAAAAGAATTCTGAGTACATTGACAACAGTGAATCATTCACATGTAGGTGTGTTGATTTGTGATGAAATCATTTTTTGTGAAGCAATTATTCATTAATAAACTTTATTGCTGAAGATATAAGATATAGATAACAAAAATAAAGAAAAAAGATAAATGAAAAATTACAATTCAGAAAAAAACGAAATAAATTAAATTCAAGTCATGACTTTATTATTTTTTTAAATCTTGTTATTTGAAAATTATCTGACAACATTAAAACTATTATTTTCATTATACGATACTCTCAGAACGAGAATATATATCTGTTGTTGGAGGTAATCTATGTTGTCTTAAAGTTCCTGTTACACATTGTGATGAATAATGATGACAACATACAGGTATTACAACTGTTGGATTTGATGATGATGTTGTATCATAGGTTTGTTTCGATAAATCAGAATGATGAAGAATATTTGTTCGAGGAAGATATGGTCGAATCGTATGTGTATTCGATTGTATAACTGGTTTAAAAGCACTATGATTAGTACATATATTATAGTTTAAATTCTCTGAAGGAATTGTTTCATAAACATGATAATCAACTGAATCTCCATTAATATGTGGATTTCGATAACATAAAATTGTTGAAGTTGGATTTATTTGTGATAAATTTGTAAAATGAGGAGATGTTATTGTTGTTGATGTATCATTCGATTTTGATTGTGAATGTTTTGATGAAGAAGATGATGTTGATGTTGATGATATTGTATTTGTTTGTTCATGATATAAATGTTGCATTAGACTATGTTGTAATTCTTCATGAGTAAAAGATATATTTGATTCATTTTGTGTTTTACATTTCGATTGATTTTGTAAACTTCTAATAAACCAGAAAAGAAAACATAGCTATTCATTACAAAAAATAGAAGATGAAAATTATTATTTACTTTTTACATAAGTAACAAACGACAATATTAGTAGACAGAATAACCATTGCTATTCCACT